ATCTGGTTTAGTTACACCTTAGATTTTAGATGGTGTTTAGGATCCTTCAGACTGTAAAGGTAGCATTGTTTTCCTTGACTTATTTAAAGAAGTGCTAGCAGTAATAATGGAAGGAGTTTTCCTTTTCCTTTTAGAGAAAAGTTTGAAAAAGTGGAGTTTTAAAAAATTCACATTGCTCTGTGACTAACATCTGTACAGACAAGAATACAAACCCATCAAATCAATTAATTGAATTTAATTATTTATTTATGTATTTATTTGGTAATAGTAAATATAAAACTTATTGTTCAGTTCAACGCTTCTGTAGTATACAAAAAGGACTGTAGCTCTGGGCTTCCTGCACTAAAGTCACCTCTTTGATATTCAGCACTCTTCAGTTTTCATTTCATGAGTTTCTACATTATCATAATTCAAATAACCATATTTCCTTTTCTGAAAAATTTCCAATATGAAAGCTGATATATGCTGACAGTATAGTATATACTTGTATTATGAACTTCCCTTTCTAGTGATGGTTTCATGATCTATTGAAACCTTGTTTCCATGGTTCCGAAAAAATAAAATAATAAATTCAGGCATCCAGTGTCACACATCTGAAGCAACATGTGAAGTAAAGGGATAGAAAAGTTGTAAGTACGGGTAAGAGCATTAAACTTTTCGTTACCAATGTGAAAATTGAATATTGATTTCTTCCTACCACAGTCAAAACAATTATTTATGCTTTATTTTTGTTTTATGTATTTATGTGTTTATTAGTACCATAACTGCTAGAAATGTCCTCCTTTAAAAAATGTTTTCTGTTTAATATGTTATGTATTATAATTGTCATTTATGAACATTTGTATAAAAATATCCATTTACTTCTGGGAATATATTGCTTGAACTTTAAGTGATCTTCCTGTTTCACCATTTTACAGCCCAAATAAGCAACTAGAGTTATTACTTTTGGTAAATACAAACATTATTCTAATGGCTAGAAAACCTTCTTTTTCCCTAAAGAATTATTTAAAAAATATAAACTATCTATATTATGCTGAAGGTCTGTCCCCCATTGCTTAAAAAAGGCTCTTAACTACCAGAAGCATATTTTGCCATTTTTGTCAACATCCTCATTTATTTTAAACTGCGCCATGTTGCCACCCTCTGTGCAGGTACTGTCCATTTCCGTATGCCTGGGTTAAAGTTTAGGCTTTCAAAATGTCAAAGACTGTAATTTTATTGAACTTCATAGGCAGTAAAACTCTTTCAGGCTAAATGGCTCAGCAAATTTACATTCAGGGGAGGTTAACGAGTAATGCGGCGTAATCGGATTACTTTTGATTTACTTAAATTGCAGTAAGTGGCCACCATGTTTTCTTTTCCTTCCTCTCCACCATTCTTCTTATTCCCTTTTGTGCTTCTCCATCTTAGCCTTCATCCCTTTTTTTTTCCCTTTTCTTTTCTTTTTTTTCTCCTTTTTCTCTGCTGTGTGGCACTGAATGCGGTCCAGTACAATGGTGGTCTCATTACTCAAGCTCTCATGGCAAACTAGTCTCCAGGGGGAGCGAGCACACTTTTTAAAAAAGTGCCCTGTCACATTGAGGCACATGATTTGCATTTAGGTTAAAAACCAGCCAGGACTCCTGAATCTTGTTTACAGGCAGAGGGAACTCCTTCGTCACTGCGCCGTTGGGTCATCAGTTATTGTCAGACCTAATCTTGTTAAACTCGCAATTTTAAACACACACATATCCACGCACATATGCATCGCCGTATCAGTGAAAGCAAACAAAGTGTTTTTGTTTGTAAACAGGTTATAATCTGTATGAGGGCTCTGGCCATTGTCCAGCCTGAAGTGCTTTTTTTCTTTTTTGCCAATAATCAGGCTAATGGGTTGTCTGACAAAGTGGACTGATGCTCACACAGTGAGGTGAAGCACTGAATTGTAATTGTATGCATGTACTGACCGGGCACAAAATATTAATGATATTAGCTTTTATCATAAATAGTTTAAGGCAGGTAAGTGCTTACGTGGATGGTGTCGAGAGAATAAGTTGACCATCCACAAATGAATGCACACGGTTTGCCAGATGGTTTAAATGGGAATCAGAGAAGGAAGAAGGAATGCTTTTTTTTTCTTTTTTTTTAAATCAGGCTTGTATATTAAGAGTTCACATCAACGCAGCAAGCTTTGTTGCTGCTGCATTTACACACAGTAGTTTGTACATGATATTAGATGCTAATATAAAAAAAAAAATTATGAATGACTGCAGGACCATTTTATCATGTGGTGTGCCAGAATTTGAACATTGATGCTCCTACTACCAACAAAAATAGTAACATCAAGTGATATTTGACATGCAGAACAAAACTGGGGAAGTGCCAGCTTAATTACAGCTGCTAGGATGAGGCACATGGGCATTTTGTAAAGAAAAAATTAAATAAGAAAAAACTAGGAATTGCTAAAGAGGTCGATCTGATCTGGCCAGATTTTTTTTGCAGTGTTTAAAGATTGGTTCAAACATTAAAAAATAAATGAATAAATAAATGTTTTGTGCAATATTATGTCCTGTCATTGCTGAGGGATAAGTGTCACTGTGACAGTGGGTCTGAAATTGCTGACATTTTTAGTGATGTCACTATATTATTTATATTTCTTTCTCTGTACTTTTTGATCACCTAGGCATGAAAGTGCTGTGCTATTTACATTTTATGCATCCCACATATTACGTGAACTAATTAATTATCAAGACATTGCTACAACTTCTGAGTAGCACATCTGTAATATCTGTAGAATATGTGCCTTTCTAAATCCCAGAAATCATGTTCAAAATATTTTGTGGCTGTGTTTGCTACATTTCATTCTTAAAGTAACTTCATTTTAGTCAAGTGAAATGAATGTCTGAGGTGTCAATATGGCTAAATTGGAGTAGTTATGTTTTTAATTCCAATCTGAAAACAATGGTTTTATGTCTGTTTTTTTTTCTTTAGATATTGCTAAGGGCCTCAATTACTAGTTATCAGTTTGATGTGTTAATTAATCTACTCAGTATAGATCTAAAATACACACAGGCTTGACCTGTAATGACTACATTTACCTGTTAGGTTAAATGAATAAGATTAAACAGATATATTCCAGCCTTTGAGCTTTGAGCGTCCATAAAGTGCAGCTGCAAATGCTGTGCTACTTGCCTCTGAAGTTTTTCACAGTGGGCTGTAAAAGCTCGTGATCAGCAGTAAAATCTTGCTTGCAGCTATAGATCTTTGGTAGTAATCAGTTTAAAAGTCTTGTGTGGCATAAGGTTAGCCTGTGTTTATATATAGATCTCATTCCGAAGTTTTTCATTTTGTTGTAGATTTTCAGGTATTTTCACACTTTATATCAACTCTCTCCTGCAGCTTTCCAGTGGCGCCTTCTATGTATCTGGCAGCTTTTTGGACATGCATATCTTTTGTCTTTCCTGTTGATCAAACCCAGTCCTGATTGAAATTATGAGGAACCACAGCTGTTCCTGCAACATGTAAAAGAACTTTGATATCTGGCAGACGGTTCTTCAATGCACTGTGGCCCTTCAGTTCATCATTTATCGGTGCTGTCCACTGTGGTCATCAATGCTGCTTTGATATCTTTGTTATATGATTTATTATTTAGCAGCTCTATATATGAACTCAGTCATACTATCTCTTGCAGTGCTGCTCATTTCCACAGCAAATCGTCAGCAGTGCAATAATTCACACCGTCTAAAATAAATTATGCAATTTATGTTGTGGAAATATTAGTTTTAGCCAACAATAATAAAACTAAAAATCTGTGTTCACTGATGCCAAATATTTAACAGATAGTCACTTCAAATAAAAGTGTACAGTTTTCAGCTTTGTTCCTTATTCCATTTATTTATTCACCTTCTACTTTATTTTTCTGCCTATTTCTTGGTTATTTCAGTTTAGTAGTTTTGTAAAGATGGTGTTGCATCCTTTGATCACTCACAATAAAATCTCATCCTAAATGTCCTGGGCTGTGTTGGTTTAAAAATATCTGCAGAATAACTTTTTCTGCAAGTGATGAATGTCCCATTCACACCAGATGAACTGTTACTACCTGTTGTGTTTGATGGAGTGTAAGTGATCCCCAAATTCTTGAATATGCACAAAACTAGCTGAACGTGCAGCATGTTCAGCCTCAGTGCTGGGAAGTATCAGTTAGATTTCCATCTTTGGTCTTTTGGTGCATGCCTTCAGGTATCCTTCATGAGTTTAGTGTGATGTACAAAACAAAACAAAAAAAAAAACATCCATAAAGCTCAGTCATGCATTCCTAATGTTTCTACTTTCTTCAATCTGTGTGTGTTTTTTTTTTTTTTTTGGCATACATCACTAATATAACAAACTAGAGGTGGAGGGTATTGTCTGGGGAATCGAGGTTTGACTGAAGCACTGTGTTTCTCATGCTCCACTGCTTCCATAAACTCTCCATTTAATCATTTTTCTCTCTGAGATTTAACCTTTGTTCTTTTTTTTTTTTTTTTATACCTGAGAGAGTGGTTTTATTTCCAGACCAAATCCTGAAACAGACTAAACTGGGAAAGATCCATCTGGCATCAGTTTTATTTTGGTCATATTGATCATTTCTGGGCACTGTTATCTGCATGTATGAGGAACTGCAATGCAGTTAGAATTATTTCTATCACAGTTTCTTTGGATACTTAAAATGGTCAGACTGACAGCTACCTATCAGGTTTAATAATTTCTCTTTATCCTGTCTATCCTGTCAGTACTTTATTTTAACACTTTTATGGACTTGTTCTACTGTCTTGGCTTAGTCATTATTGTACTTTTCTGAATTTTGAACCGTAATATGATACTTAGAAGAAATCCAGATTTTGTTTTGCTTAAAAAAAGTATTTACATTGATTTTTAAACTATTTATTTATTTTTTTTTTTGTCGTTTTGGTGCAGATTAGTTACTGTTCCAACAACAGACAGTTTCTCATTTGTTGCGTCTTGTGTTTTGTAATTGTTAGAGATCTCTGGGAACTCGGAGGACATCCCTCTGGTGCGCTGGCGGCAGCAGTGGCTGGAGAATGGCACGCTTCTTTTCCACATCCACCATCAGGACGGCAGCGTCAGCCTACCCGAACCAACCGAAGACCCGGCCAACGATTCCACGAAGGAAGAGCTGCGCATACTCCACATCTCTGTGATGGTAAGCATTTTTATTCAGGAAGCTCACAAGAGTACGATAATGGAAATTTTATTGGACATCTAAATTAGAATTTTATGTTTTTAACCATGCAAAATGAGACTTTAGGTTGATCTGAGCTGGAGCACACATATATACTTCAAGAATAACACTTTTGGGAAGCCCAGAAATTTGTAAAACATTTCTTTACGCCATTGCTTACTTTGTCCCTCTGTTCAGAAATCTCAATATGCACATTTTCCTGTAAAAATGCCTGTCATCACATTTCTGTTTTTAAACAAATCAAATGCATATAATTAACTCAAGATTCTTTTTTAGCCTTTGCAGTTGAGCAATTTAATTTTCAGTCATAAGTACATTGTTATTTGTCAGTTGGCTCACACATGAACCCTAAAGAAAAATAATTGAAAAGGTTTTGTCAGGGAACCTAACAAAACAAATATCAACTCCATTCTGGGTAAGAAGAGTGGTCAGATATGTTGCTTTAATTATGACACCACAGTTTTTGATGTGTCGAAAAATATTGTGTCTGATGAAAGATATTTTACCAAATTTGATTGAACATGTATCTATTTTCTGTTTGTTTCAGTAATTCTGAAACTGTGCAAGTTTGACAACATTAATAATACATTCTACCCTTCATATGATTTAAAATGACTTTATTCCTGTGATGAGTGTCTGCGACATTCTGAAGGGAGCCTGTATTGTGAGCTTCCCCTATGGAGGCAGAAACGGAGTCAAGCGAGGGCAGTTTTCACAACTGAAGTTGAAGTAAACTTTACCTTTTTTGTTGTAAGGGAAGCATGAGATGAGTTTATTACAGAGGGACATGAATTTATGAAGTACTAAAATCCAGTAGCTGGGTGTAGATTTTTGCATGCGCCCACCGTATCAGACCTTATCAGCTCTCTTGGCAGAGTAGGAAATGAATCCTTAGAACTCTCCGTTTCCCCCCTCTTGCCCCGAGGAAATGTATATTTATTAGATCTAAGATATGCCACACCTACTCTCAGTGCCCTTTTCTTGCCCAAAGACATTACAATCATGCTGTGATGGATGATATATATTTTCAGACATTGAAAGCTTATAATATCTGCATACACAAATGATTAGTCAGCTTCGGAAGATTTTTGCCAGCGGCTACATCTGCTAACAGAAGCAGGGAGGTACGCTTCAACACCTTCAGACCTAATTTAATTCCAACTAGATTTAATTTCAGATGTAATGACAAATAACTGGCCTTGTTCTGTCCTCTAAATGCTCTACATGCATTAGGAAAAGCCCATCTTCTGGACATACGAGAAATGATGGTGAAAACATTTCTTAGTGGGAATATGAGGCACAGTGCTTCTTATCTCATTGACTTTGCTGTAGTCTCACATGTTTTTTTGCTCTTTGCTCTATCTGTATTTCACATCCCATCGCCCTCGGGTCGGCGTCTTTGTGGTTCCTTACCTGCTAATTCGTCACCCCTAAAGCACTGTGGGGGACGGCAGCTCCATAAAGGTGTAGTAAGGGAAAGATTAGCATCCAAATACAAGCAGACTGTAAGGACAGATGGAAGCTGTGCTACCACTGGGCCACTCAGGCTGCGCTGCAGCCTGCTGCCCAGCTGGAGGCCTCGACCTATAAATCCTAAAGCCATGTCACTAGTTTGGCGTCTTGTGGATATGGAAAAAAGGTCCTGGGAAGTCTGCATAACAGACTTCCCAGGAAAGTGATTATAGCATTTTCTTTTTTATCACTGTGCTTTACAAGTCACTATTTGAACCAAGACCAGTGCTTTTGGACTGACATTTTCCATTTTATGCCTTTGCCACAACATAAAATTGGGCCTTTGTTCAGGAAAGCAAACTGACAGATCATCAAAATGTCAGCCATATAATTTCTCGCCATATAAAACATCTTTGTGCTGCAGCAGAGTAACTAAAGCAGGTTGATTTTCATCAAATCAATCATTCTGTCAAACAGTTAGTCTTTTCACTGTAAACCAACTTGCAACATTGAATAAATAAATTAAATCATATAAATGCAGGAGAAAAAAACCCACATATCTTATCAGTTTATAATTTTGACAGCTTATGGAAATGGAAGTAAGTTTTCTTTTCATTATATGGTACTACTGACATATGGTATATGGTACTACTTTACATCTTCAGACTTACTGTTCTTCTGATGGGAGAAGTTCAAAAAGTTTACTAGAGGGTGTCCAGAGACTTTGAAAATATTTTGGTCTAGTTTCTTCAGCAGCTCTGACACAGATCCTGAAAAGAGGGTCGTGGTATTCCAATTACATTTTCAGGTCCCTTCACTGTCCTCTGTCAGGTTCTGATTGTCTGCTTCGATTTTCTCAGAAAGTGGCCATTTATGATCACAGTAGTGTTTTTTTTTTTTTTTTTTTTTCCCCAAAAAATTTTTAAATTTTTTTTTTTTTTTAAAATTTTT